GATACTAAACCCAAGCAAGGTACTCTTGGGTATGATAAGTGGGAATAAGAAAATGCCCAAATTATTTCATTGCTATTAAATAGTATTGAGCCTAATATCAATTCTACTTTGCTTTATCTTGACACGGCCAAAGAGATCTGGGATCACTTGGCCACCATGTATTCTGACACTAAAAATTTCACTCATGCATATGAAGAATGCAAACAGTATTTTTGTCTAGAGCAGGATACTCTGAGTCTTGAGGACTATTACTTTCATGTTCGGGGAGTGTGTGAGGAGTTGAAGCTCTACCACCTCTTTACTACTAATGCAACGGTTTGACAAAAGTAACATCAAGATTTGAATGTTGTCTAGTTTTTAGTTGATTTCAAACCTAAATACAAGTCTATTCGTTCTCAGATTTTGGGTGGCTCTAATCTTTCATCTCTATTGGAGGTTTTCTCTCGCCTGCAACGTGCTACCATCTCTACCGGTTCATCCAACACAGAGTCTAGTGTGCTTGCTGATCATTCAGCTCTTGTTGTCCCGAGTTGCCATGGTGACAGTTCCCGAGGTGGCCGTGGTAACCGTGGTGGTAGGGGAGGCCGTTCTAGAGGTCGTGGAGGGCGTTCAGGGTCTCGTTCATGCTCTCACTATGGTCGTGGAGGCCACACTGTTTGATTATTACTGGGATTTACATGGCAAGCCTTCAGGTGTTGCTATTCAGGTTTCTTATCAAGATGATACCTTGACTCCTGCCGTTATAACTCAATCCGCTCCACCTAATTCTGTGTCAGTTACTCTTATACGGGAGGAGTATGCTCAGTTTCTTTCCCAGCAATAGACTGTTCCATCTCCTTCCACTGTTACTTTTTTCCGATCAAGTACTACTTTCACTTGTTTATTATTATCCACTCGTATTATTATCCACTCGCAGTCTCTGGATCATAGACTCTAACACTTCTGACCACATGACTGGTGCGTCTGATATTTTTTCTACTTATCAGTCTACTACTTCTACACGTAGTGTCACTCTTGCTAATGATACTTGTTCTAAAGTTTCAGGTTTAAGGACTACTCACTTGAGTCCTGATATGTCCCTATCTTCTGTGTTATTTGTTCCTCAATTTTCTTTTAGTTTACTTTCCATTAGCAAAATTATTCATTCTCTCAATTGTTCTGTAACCTTTTATCCCTTTTATTATGTCTTTTAAGATCTCAAGACGAAGAGGAAGATTAATACGGGACATGAAGTTCGTGGTCTATATTACCTTGACTTTGATTCACTTACTCGAGCTCTACAGACCTCGTTGTCTCCTTTTCAATGGCATTGTCATCTTGGACATCCCTCTCTCCAGAATCTCAAGCGCCAAGTTCCTAGTTTTAGTTATGTGTCGTTTTTGTCTTGTAAAGCTTGTCAACTTAGTAAGCATCATCGTGTGTCATTTCAGTCTAGAGTCAATAATCGTGTGTCTAGTCCATTTAAGTTAGTACATTCTGATGTATAGGATTCAATAAAGAATATTTCATCTGATAAATATCCTCATTTTGTGATATTTGTAAATGACTATTCTTGTGTGACTTGATTGTTTCTTATGAAAGCTCGGTCTAAATTATTCTTTATATTTAAGAACTTTCGTAAGGAAATAAAAACTCAGTATGGTTGTCGTATACGAACTTTACGTTCCGATAATGCTCGGGAATATGAATCTGATCTTTTTTCAGCTTATCTTATTAAAAGTGAAATTATTCATCAGACTTCATGTGCTTCCACCTCTTCACAGAATGATGTTGCTGAATGCAATAACAGTTATTTGTTGGAAGTCACCCGTGCCCTGTTATTCGAGATGAATATTCTCCGCTATATTTGGAGTGATGTTGTTCTTACTGCCTGTCACCTTATTAATCGTATGTCATCTTCTGTGTTAAATAGAAAAAGTCTATATTCTGTCCTTTTTTCAAGCAAGCCCTTATTTTCTCTGACTTCTAAGATTTTTGGATGTATCTGTTTTGTTTACAATTTGGGTCTTGAATTTGACAAACTTGACCCTTGAGCTACCAAATGTGTATTTCTTGGTTACTACCGCACGCAGAAGAGGTATCGTTGCTACAGTCCTTCTCTGCGTCGATACTTTACTAGTGTCGATGTCATGTTTGAGAAATCTGTTCCATAATTTTCAGCACCTTCTCAGCCTTTGAATTTGGACTTTGGGTCATCTCCTGTACCACCATCTCTTTCCTCGTCTTCAGATATTCTGCTGCCCACTGTATTACCATCTATTTTACCTCTTCGTGTCTATTCTCGCCGTCCTCGCCCATCGACTGAGGTGCTTACACCGTCTTTTTTGTCGCCTTTTGATCCAAGTATATCAGGTAATTTAGACTTTTTACCTATTACTCTTCGAAAAGGTACTCGTTCGTGTGTTACTAATCATCTCATTGCTCATTTTGTTTCATATGATGTCTTGTCTCCTACCTTCTCTTATTTTACTTACCAATTATCTATTATATCTATTTTTAAGCATTTATAAGATGCATTATCTGATCCGGATTGGAGGAAAACTATGGAGGAGGAGATGGATGTCTTACATCATAATGAAAATTGGGATCTCGTTCCCTTACCTCCTAGTAAACGAGCTGTTAGGTGTCGTTGGGTGTATACTGTTAAATTTCATCTAGATAGTTCTGTGGAGCATCTCAAAGCCGGGCTTGTTGCAAAGGATTTTACTCAAACTTATGGTATTGATTATGAGGAGACTTTCTCTCCTGCTGCATAAATTTTCTCTGTTCGTATCTTGATTTTTTTTGCTGCTAATCTTGATTAGCCTTTGTTTCAGTTAGACTTCAAGAATGTCTTCCTACATGGTGACTTGGTTGAAGAGGTATACATGAAGCAGCCACCTGGGTTTACTGCTCTGGGGAGTATGATAAGAGTGTATGTCGATTAAAAATTTTTTGTATGGTTTTAAAGCAGTCACCGAGGGCATGATTTCATTAGTTTTCAAATGCAGTTTTAGAATTTAGTCTTCTTTGATGTCAGACAGATCATTCTATGTTTCATAGACAAACAGATGTTGAATATGTTCTATTGGTAGTCCATATAGATGATATTGTGATCACTGAAAACAATTCTGAGGGGATTGTCAAGTTAAAAATATTCTTACAAGATCGATTTTATACTAAGGATTTGAAAAAATTCAAATATTTCTTGGGTATTAAGATGACTCGATCTAAACAAGGTATTTGTTTATCCTAGAGGAAATATGTACTTGACATGCTAAAAAAAAAAAGTTTGTTAGGTGGCAGACCTATTGATGTTCCTATGAATCTGAATCAAAAACTTTTGATGGATGATGATCACTATTTGAGAATCCGAGTAGGTATCGCAGATTAGTTGGGAAGCTCAATTATCTCACTATTATTCGACCGGATATTTCCTATGCAGTCACTATAGAAAGTCAGTTCATTGGGTGCCCTAGAGTACCACATTGGGAGGAAGTTACTCGTATTCTGCGATATCTCAAATGTGCTTCAAGATTTGGACTGTTTTATTGAGCTAATGTACATCTTAGAGTGGAAGGTTTCTCAAATGCTGATTAGGCTGACTCTCCTTCTGATCGAAAATTAACCACTGGTTATTGAACTTTCTTAGGAGGTAATGTTGTCTCATGAAAAAGTAAGAAACAATTCGTGATAGCAAGATCTAATGCTGAGGCTGAGGATAGGACAATGACGCATACGACGAGTGAGTTGACTTGGCTACTACACTTCCTTCAAAAAATTGGGTTTCTAGTTCAACTTCTTTTACAGTTTTTTTGTGACAACCAGGCAGCTATCCATATCACTGTTAATCCGGTATTTCACGAGAGAACCAAACATATTGAGATTGATTGTCCCTTTATTCGGGACAAGATAGTAGCTAGGGAGATTAGAAAATCCATTTGTAAAATCTAAAGATCATCTTGCAGATATGTTTACTAAAATATTGAGTTGTACACGTCTTACAGTAATTTGTTCCAAGTTTGGATTATATAATATATATAGTCCAGCTTGAGGAAGAGTGTTAAGAATATTAGAGTAGTAAGTGTAAATTGTTAATAGTAAGAGGGTGTATGTGTAATTCTTATTATTGTGAGTTAACTATAAATACAAGTGATGTATGAGATCTAGGTTAAGTTTTAACCACTCTCTGTTTCTCTAATATTGTGTTATGTTATCTCTCTAAACTTAACATAATCCAAGCTTGGAGCAAATGTCTCCATTCAGTATCTTGTTTCCAATAAATTGACAATCAACCTTGATATGTTTGGTCCTCTCAGAATCCTAGATTTGAAGAAATGTCAAGAGCAGCCCAATTATCACAAAATAACAGTAAAGGAAGAAGAGCTGGAAATTCAATTACTTGAAGTAAGTGGAGTAACCACATCAATTCACTTGCAACATCACACACACTGTTTGCAAAGCCAACACCCACAATCACTGATAACTGATTACAGTTCACTCATAGTAGGGCATAAACCCTAGTTTTCTGATCATGGGCTTCACATAGCACAGACCAGAAAGATGGAGGGAGAGGAAGGGAAGGGAAGGGAAGGGAAGAAGACCAGGAAGAGATACGGGAATATGGGTCTAGGAGAAAAGGCTTTAATATTCAACAACAGAAGCAGATCTAAGATCAAATTTGAAAACCTTGCTATGATAACATGTTAAGTTTAGAAAAATAGCGAATTGAGAAGAACAATATGAGAGGAGGCAGAAATGTAGAATGATACTCTACCTCTCTCTCTTGACTTATATTCATAGCTAGAGGTATACTTATTACAACCATATAAAATGGATCTAATAACAATAGACAATTAATACTCTCAACAATTTCACAGCTATATCATAATATTTGTGCCCACTTAAAAGGGAGAAAAAAAATGGTCATGATAATTAACAAAAAAGAGAAACAAAGAAAACAAGGAGCTGAAAACAAAAGGTAGAGTGATCAGGCTACCACTAGATTTAACTCAAGTATCTCAGCTAAAAAGCAACAATACCTTGAATCCTGCAGGGCTAGAACTTTCCAGAAATCCATCCTCCGATGCCAAGCTTTGTTTAGCTCCTTCAGAATCACCACCCCTAATGGCATCACCACTAAGTTTCACATCTGCTGTTATACATACTGTTTTCTCGAAAAAGTCAAGTGGGAATTCTGGATTCGAACCAGCATAAACTTTATTGTTTAGAATACTGGAACCCAATTTTTTAACTTTATCGTTTATTGCACTTGCACCAGCATCAACCCCAACAGGGACATGTGAGTATATCTGAAGGCTTCCATCATCATGCAAAACAAGACAGTGGATCTTGTCTTTGGACAAAGGCTTATAGGCGGTAATCCCAACCAACGACGAGGTCGAACCTACAGTGTGCCGCATGTTTTGGGCCAATATTTCATGGTCCCCCATGGAAACAATGAGTGCAGCATTTGATTTCACACTCGAAAAACAAACAAATAACCCACTACCACCCAGCAACTCAGTCCATCGATGCATTCCAGCTGGTCGCAACTTACCATCTTGGTCATCCTCATATACAGCAGATATCTCAGTTGGAGAAGTTGCGTCGGGATTAAGCCTGCTGATCAAGGTAGTTCCATCTTGATAGGAGAGAAACAGTAACTTATAACTAGGGGAAAAGTACAGAGAGGAGCCCTTGACATGTACGTCTCTACCCGGAAATTGAATAATTTCTTTTAGTTGTTTGGCTCCAGCATTTCCTGTCATTGATAATTCTAGCCTGAATAAGCATCCAAGTTCAGAAAGGACAATAAGAAAAACCCTTCCCTGGGAAGCCACAACAAGTGTTGCGTCCACTATAGTATCCTCGGGCAATGTGACATAGTACATAGGACTGATGTTATCCTGAGATAGATCGTATATTTTAACAAACCTGTTGGTCACCACCATTAGCTGAACCTGGGAACCCGGAACCCAGTTTACTCGTCTAATGTAGGCACCTTGCAGAGCAAGTTCAATGGGTAGACGATCAGTCACCTCACCACGATTACTTACAGTAAGAATCTGACAATCTTCATAGCCCGCCACAGCGAGATAATTCTCTACCCCTGGGTTGAAAACCAGATGTACAATCTCAAAACGAATGACATTCCTAGAGAGAGGCTTAACATTAGTCTTGTCTGCTGTCACAGGTGCTATAGTAGCTTGACCAATCAGCTGCCCAACATCAAATATCGCTACTTTATCACCTTCTCCAACAGCAAGACGACCTCGACTACTGACACTAAGTAAGGATTTAACAAGAGATCCAGTAGCCAAGTGGGATTTCAGATCCTTTGCATTTGAATAATCTGCCTTTATCTTCAGGTCCAAAGATCCACTTTTATAAGCCTTCTTCAACTGCAGAAAATCAGCACCATAACAAAGAACTTTATCGTCACCTAATGTAATTTTCTTATCTCTTGAAAGGTTAGAGTCTCTTCTGCTAGATACCGAAGGCAACAATGAAGAGCAAAGTTCAAGCACCCGACCTTCAATGTCAAGTTCTTCAAGAAACTGTGGCATCCCATCTTGAACCTCCCTTGGAATAGATAACCTGACAGAGTTATCTATGTCTATCAAAACATCTTCATCAACATCTGAATCACTGTCAGGCAACTGATCCCCATCTTCTGCAAAGGGTACAAAGGACTGAAAATTAGCAGCACCACGACTGGCTGCACTGCTACTTCCAGTGAACTTTCGGGGCTTCAAGCATTGGCAACTGCTCCCACGAACCCCCCCTGCTCCACAGTCACAAAAAAACCGACTTGAGCGGGAGTAGACAACCCGATGACCACGATGACAAACTTTTGCACACACAGAGCAACAGCCTTTTGACACAGTCAGATCGCATGTATAACAAAAGTACCAGTGTTGTTCCATAAAATTGCTGCCACTGGATGTGAACGTGCAAACTTTAGAAGCAAGGGCCCTTTCACAGTTAGTATCCTCCTCCTCATCCTTATCCATGCTACCCACCTCACCATCAGACGTTCCATCATCTTCTTCTTCATCTCCAGAAGTTGCATCACAGTCCAGAGTTGTGGCCCCCCCTTCTTGGTTAGCAGAAAGAACCAATGTGTCAGAATTTTTCCTTGATCCTAGAGATCTAGAAGCCACTGGTCCCACCCCAGCACTACAGCTAGACAACGCCTTTCCAGAAGGCTTCTCAGTAGCATTCTTACCAGACCCACAATCACTTAAAACAGTCCCGACAAAGTTGAAGAGAAATTTCAGCCCTTGAAGCAGATGATCATTACCAGCCAGCTTCTCCATAAGCATCACAATGTGCTGCAGAAGTGATTTCATTGAGGTCTCCCCTCTGGAGAATTGAACAATAAAATTAAAATATGATTTTGCTGTATTGGTGTCAAAGAGAATAAATGCACTGTCCAGTGACACCAGCATAGCTTCAAACAAATGATTGTGCAGCTCTCTTGATTGCACTTCAGAAGATGAGGGTAAAAGGCATGAAATAAAATTCATGGTTGACTCTCTTAGGGAAACTGAACCTCCTTTTCCACAGGTAACCCCACCTGAAGCTTCTGCCAGGAGACCTAACAGCCTTTTTGCTAACCATTTGGAAAGGCAAAGCTCATCCATGGCAAGGAATTTTTTCTGTAATTCCTGTCTGATATCAGGACGCATCTCTCCAGATAAGAGATCAACAAAGAAGTTAAGAACCTTTATGTTAACCAATTCGGAATCACAATTATCCAGAGAATCAATTAGAACCAATAGATCACCTCGTTGTGAACCATAAAGATCCTTCAAAGGTTCAGACACATCTTCCATAGAGACAAAAAATTTGAAAATATCACCTCTTGAAGGTTCTTTCCTGAGGCTCTCCATGGTATCAATAGCCTTGGTGACTACACACTCATAAATTCCGCTATCACTGACATCAGTAGCATTAATAACCCTTAAAATTTCTTCCATGTGCTTCATGTCAAATAAACTGCAATAATCAGGCCCTTCCAAGCCCCGACTCAAGGCGGAGTAAACAGATTCACATTTTTCATGTAGACACTCAAATATCCTGTCAGACTTGATAGTTAATACCGTCTCAAGAATCTGATGAAGTACCTCAGTGTCCAGGTGGATGAATTCTCTTGCATCTTTGACCTTGAGAAGCCCATCTAGAAAGCTAATGATCCCTTTAATGCTAAGAATGCAAGAAAGAATAATTGCACTTGGAACTTGAAGATGACAGGGGAAACCATGCAAAACAAACTCCCAAAAGATACTATATAGAATTCCTGGAGACATTTTGTCAACGGTTTTGCTCAACTTAGACAAAAGCTCGTATATGGACCCCACCTGGGAACAATTGAATCCACTTTTCTCAAAGAGCTCATCCAGCATGCATTTATCAAATCCAGTATGCTTTAGAAGTAGTAAAGGCGAGAACCTATCAGCAGAGCACTTGGTATTGTCAAAGCTAGAAAGAAAAGCTTTTTGATGAACTCGTAAATATCTCTTCAACAAAGATGTCAGTATCCTCAATATAACTGCAACTCGATCAGCAGCAAATGAACTGGAAATCAGGAGTTCAGCAAGGGTAAAAAAGTCAGCATCTCTGGATGAATGTACTGGCCATTTTGGACCTCCTAAACTGATTGTGTCCGTCATGCAGAACTTCTGAACACCAGCACTAAGCAAGGACAGCACCAATGATAGCCATGATCCATTCCTCAAGAAGTCCCATCCTAGATCCCCAATGTCCTCTGATATGTCCAAAGAATGTAAGTGTTGAAGCACACCAAACACCAGGTCTAAAAGATTCACGTGCTCACCAATAACACCAGAGTGACCTAAAATTGAATGGCTAAAATAAAAGAAATGCTCCATATTTGAGATTTCAGGAGTCTGCGTCCCACTCCAGAAAGAAAGTAGATGTTGCCATGTAGAGCTCATGGTAGGAACATCCCAGCAAAGCATAAAGAGGTATCTTTCAAGAATCAGTTCTTCCACCCTTGCAGCTTTTTTACCTTTCCAGAACTCCAGAATCCATGAGAAGCAAGCACATATCTCACCCCAGGTCAAACCTAAGCAATCACTTGCCAGATCACCCACACACACTGAAGAAGGAATTGGTGCAATATCAACCAAATGACTAAGCAAGCAGCCGCTGGCAGGCCCTTCTTTGATCCAAGCACCCATAAAACTCTCCACTCCAATTGATGACCAGGATGGAAAATCATTGTTATCACCAAGAGGACGTGATCCACTTAGTGGGACCTCCCGCAGCCTGGATCTCAACTTCAAAAGCAACGTCGAAGGACAAGCACGAGGGTGAAATATCATATGACGAAGAATTAAAACCAACCGTGAAACTAGTAAAGCCCAGCATGACAATTGTGTACTGTTAAAGCCTGCAACTGGAGCATCAATTGATCTAACAGAAGAAAATATGAACTTTGCAAGGGTTGTTTTTTCATCTTCAGAGGACAAGTGGAATGCCATTAGAAGAATCTCAATGTGAAACACAGAGGGCATAGTCTCCAGAAATTCCTCAAGGCTAGGACAGGTTGAACAGAGTGTTTTTGCCTTCCCACAAACAAAGTCCACATATATCCCATAAATTTTAGTTCTCAATTGACTACCAGTCAAACCATCCCTATAGATGAGACCATGAGCAAGCAAGGCAAGAGTCTGATCATTGTAAACAAAAACACCATTCTCAACATTCAGGATTTTCTCAATAAGGTATTCTTCAAGTGTATCAGACAGAACACGCTGTGAGAGGAAGTTGTGCAACAGTTCAAAGCAAAGTTCATGAACATGCCCGATCTTCCTCTGCTCATGTGAAGTAACACACATATCAGAAGATCTGTCTTCAGAATAACATCCCTGACAGTTAAGTATGGAAAGTAAAATATCGATATGGCTATCAGTAAGCTTTTTGTAACCATCCTCATATATAGAAGGCTGCCATTCAGGGGAGAAAACACACGTTTTAAGAAAGATTAACAGTCCTGTGGCTGCTTGAATTGGCATATTGCAGACATTGACAATAGAACTGGCCGCAATTGGATGTTGATCGCGGCCATCTATAGATCCTGCCGAGCGACCACCCTCTGAGAAAAGGTCTCCAAAAAGTGCTTCATCCTCATGGCAAACTACATTCTCTGGCTCAGAGGTGCAAGATGCTTTTGTTCCACTGGAGTATGATCTCTCCAGTTTTGGCCTCGACTTTACTCCCTCGGCGTGGAGCAAAAAGACAAGATGCATCAGATCATCCACCCATTGAGTTGATGAAGGGAATATTATTTTCAGTAGCCCCTCAATTGTGTACTTCTTTAGTAAAAAAATCTTCTCAGAACGAACTTGACATGAAGGTGAATCATTCTCAAAGTCAGAACAACTACCCAAGTTCCTAGCACTGAAGTTCTTCAACTCAAGAGCCTGGAACGTTTGTTTCTTTAGATCTCCAATGAGTTTCAGAATGTAATCAACAGTTCGAGGAGAGTAGGCTAAGGGGGGCTTTGGATTTGCAGCAGACTTGTTGTACCTCCATAGACTAGAATCCAAATTGCCCAATATTGAAGCTATTATGCACGCATGGATGTTCTGATTCAAATTGCTGTTCGGAAAGAGTACCTGAACGAGTTGAAGAAACTCTTCCAACAGCAACACTACAAGGCTTTCAAAACTACACTCAACAGGAACATTGCTGCTAACAAATTCAAATCCAGGTCTGAACAAAATAGGCAATACATCAGCAACGAAAGCAACAGCTTGCAACAAAACAGCATCATATACAACATACGGGATGTCTTTTGTAAGGAGACCCAGTAACTTGAATATTCTTGTACAGAAAGATATTCTCTTGCGCAGATTTGTACCAGCCATTTTTTCATCAAACACTTCTGGAAGTTCCAACATTTCTTTGCAGATTAAAAGAAGGCGTTGAAAGCATCCCAAATGCACAATTGCCCAATGTTGAGATAGAGAAACCAACATATTGAAATCATGGTGAAAAGGCTGTCCAGTTATCGGTGGGTTCACATTGTCAGGGTGCATCACTTCAGAAGCTAATGTCAAAAGAAGACGGTCAACTGGTTTCTCTTCCTTTGAACAGCTGCCTCCTTCTCGAAACAAGTACGCAAAGCACAGCATTAGGACAACCTTAAACCTAATGCATTAAAATTGGAAGAAGTGACTAACATAGACAATACCTTGAAAAATGCATTTGGCGTGGTCCTGCAACTCGATACTGCTGTTTTTAACGGCAGATAGTGGCAATGACTCTACTAGCGCGTTCAAAGAGCGAAGTTGTGAGGAATCAGCATCTTTATGCATTCCATCGACTAGCAAAATCTGCAATATCTGCACGCAATGGGGATCAAGAATAGGAAACAAGAGATGAGAAGAGAAAAAGAAATAGGAGACAATCCAAGAATTAAGAAGGGGATCAGAAGAGAAAAGAAGAAGATCGGGGCAACCAAAATACTCTCAATATTTCAATCGAAAATCCAAATCTGCCTCATAACAATAAGTCAATCCCTATATATAGGGAACCAAAAACCCTAAAATTAAAGATCACTAATAAAATCCTACCACTAAAAAGATAAATACGACCTCATTTCAAATAAATAAATAAATATCAAAATAAATCTACAGCATTTATCTAACTCCAAAACGATCCCCATATATCTATGCTACTACAAAATGTCAACAAAAGTGAAAAACTTTTGATTAACTATTATGTCCCTATTAAAAAGGTTAAAACCAATTATTATCCTTATATATTTAATTATCCAATATTAATTAAATATTCAAATGACTCTTCATATATTTCCACTTTCACACAAATTATTTTTCCTTATATTATTCATTTACTTATTTCACTGGTTGTTGATTCTCTATCCCTCCCAAATTCTTTTCACTAACATTTAGTTTAAAATACAATCATTACCTAATTCTATTGCTAGAGCCACTTCATTGCAACTAAATTTCCTATTAATTTATTGATACACTAGTACATGATTGTTCAGATAATAATACATTATAAGTCACTCTTTTACCTTCAAATAATTGAACTTATAATCCTTCCTCCAGCACATACGGTAAAAGCTTCCACTTTGTCTCATTTATTTTTTGACCTTTCAAATTCTAACTTAATATTGATTAGCCGGTTTGAACCTTTTTTGTTTCATACACATTCTCTCCTCTTATGTAACAATCAAAACACAAATGCCAAAAAACTCCAATAGTTGTTAAGTTCTACAATTATGTGAATTATCTTCTTTCTTTCTTTTTCCACCAAACAATTGATCTCACTTTTTGTGCTTGTTTTTGTATTATGTGTGTGAATGTGTATGTTCTTTTTATTTTCTAATTCTAATTAAGGTTTGTTCATTTTGATAATGAAGACAACATCCAAGAGTGGCCGACAATGAATAACATATGAAGACGAGGATCTGACATGAGGTATGAAAAAAAATTGCATAATTTTGTTCAAACTCACTATTTTGTGTTGATTTTGACTAGAAAAATGTTAGACGAATTGGGCAAGTTTAGTGAATTTGGTCAATGTAGATATAAGCTCTCAAGAATATATGATATGCACAAAACACACGTAAATAATTTATTCAGAATAAGAAAATAAAACTGTAATTTGTAATATTCCACGTACAAAGCATGTATATATCAACTAGTTACTCTGAAAGATAAATGAAGTTAGGCTGAAAATAATTGTAACACAAATGCACAGACATACTCCATACACAACACACAAGCATATGCAAATTGGGGCACACAAGGCCCACACGTATGGAGCAAAAGCCCTTGGCACCAAATGTTTGCTAATACAATATCTACAATTTTTTTTTTTTTTGAGGGGGGAGAGGAAATTATTTACGCATCTAGGTGTTCCTCTTCATGGACTAACAAGAATTGTAGACTATAGTTCCTAAAGTACTCTAAAATAAATATACTAAATTCACTTTTTTCCAATCCTAAATAAGCTTATAAATTAATTGTTGCAGCGATTCAAATTAGAAACTAGAAATGTAGTATTTATAAAAATGTTTAAGGCCCAAATACAATGAAGCTCATTTCTCAAACAATTAAACTAGCTCAGATTACTGCTCGTATGGACAATGACATGGAACTCAGTCCAATCATTGATCACCTAAAATTTAGGGTGGAAGCAACCAAGCTTGTAAGTTAGTAATTCATCACCTTATACATTATATTCTAATTGCTATCGAATCAGTTTGCAAAGAAACAATTTACATGTATAAAAAGGTGCATCGCCTCAACAGCAAACAAGGTTCAACAATTGAATTGTTCTTGGCATATTCGATTAGTTTGATGAGTAGCTTGGCCCAAACCCATGGGTAGCAAGGCAAAGTGATCTTGTGCAGTAAGAGCCTAACATTGCTAAGTGGCAAAAAGAAACAGCTAGCAACATGCTCAAGCACGTTTAACCCATGACCCCGCCAAAAACAAAATAACAGAAAACACACACCCAGAGGACAAATCAATAACCTCAGCTACCGACCAAATATTGGGGCTATCCAAGGGACTACACTAAAAGCCTCCACAGATATGGAGCTAGTCCAAAGAGCCTAATGTGTTGTGTGCCTGTGCGCGCGTCGGTGTGTGAGGTGGGGGTGGAATGAACCGAAACTCTATATGCCGATCAAAAATTGCTTTAATTACCAAAGTTAGTCAAAAGTGGAAACTTCTCGTCATGATTATTATGCACATGGCACTTCAAGATGAAGATTTAGGAATTCAAATAATATCTGTCAAAAAATAATTAATACTAATAAATAGGGCAACAACCGTTAGCAGTGATGTACAACAAGGGTCTCTCCTATATAAAAAATGCTCAAATATTCATAACAAACAAATTTGAAGAAAACTAGCAATTGAGTGAGATCTGAAAGGGTTAATTTGTAATACAAACCCCATTGATTCCAAATAGTGCAAAACAGTACATTTTTTGCGAGAACTTATCTATCTAATAAGTAGGCACCCAACAAGTTCCTTCATTATATAAAGAAAAATTTTCCCTTCATCCAAAGGTGACCAAATGAATATTTTTTAATTATTTGCAAGACCATAGTTATTAGTATCGTACGATACGTCACGATACACCTGAAAAACAATATGTATCGTGTCTCTATATCATTTGTACACCATATCGTACGATACACGATACAATACGATACGATTCTATTTTTTTATTATTTTTTTTTGGCTGAAATGACACTATTTTATTTTAGAACTTATTTTTAAATATCTAACTAGTGAAATAACGTCGTTTCAGTGGTTAAAATTCATAATTAATATAAACGTTGTTCAAACAGTTGATGTTAAAAGTTTAAATTAGAGGTTTTTATATTTTGATATTATTAAAGTATGTTAGGAATTTGAATAGTTAGTGAAATATTAATGAAATACTGTGTTATTACGAGTTTATGACTTTTTTACAAAAGTGTGTGTATATATTATTAAAAATTATTTAAAATTTTAAGTGTATCTTACGATACACGATACATAATACGATACACTATTTTCAAAAAACGAAACGCCTTCCGATACGCGATTCGAGAACTATGTGCACGACATTACCAAATCATATCAAAAAAAACTGATCACATGACAATTCAGTAAGTATCATGCTTGCCATGGGGTTTAAAAACATTAGTGGGTCTTGCACACAGCCATCCGTGCGTGTGATTGTAAAATAGTGAGATTGGAAAAAGATGAGGACGAGAGATATGGGAGTGAGAACAGACCTTTTGAGTGCAGTGGATAGAAAGTTATGGATAGTTGAGAGGTTATGAGTGGTTAAGATGGGAAGAACATAAAGGTACTATAGGTATTTTGGATGGGGGGAGGAGGAGGCAAGTTACCTAAAAATCAAAAAAGAAAAAAAAAAATCAAGGTCCGAATCTTCTCTCCAGTTATGCAAAGGTCTTTCCATGCAAGTTATCAATTAATCTTTCCAGTGAATCAACTGATCAAATAATATGAAAACACACACACACACAAGCAAGATAACAACCAAGACGGTCACAATATGACAAGAGAAACACTTACATTAAAAATACATACAAAAACATGATAAGTAATCTGAACTTCAACAGACTGTAAAAATACAAACCTGAACACTTAAATCATCACCGTTAGTAGTTGATTTCTCCAAGTAACACAGCGCAAATTCCATCGACTTCTGAACCACCGCCACAATCATCGGGTCCACATGGTCAACTGTGCCAAATCAAGAAAACAGATACAAACGTTAAACACTCAATCCAACACATAAACCAATGGCTTTTTTTTTTTTTTGGTCAGTACAAAAACCAATGGCTACTGTACACATATATAGTGATCATAAAATTAATTATTGTGCAGTGAAAGGAATTGTATGGAGTGCCTGAGAGAGATCGAGTGTTGTAAGCAATCGCTAGCGCCAGCGAAGCAACGGCTTGATTCTGAGACTGGTCCCAGCCTTCCAGCCCTAATTTACCATCACCGATCGCTTCGACGCCGCTTTTAAGGATCGAGTAGAAGTTCTCCATCCCGACCTTGAGTTCCGAATCGGAGCGAAGTCTCTGCGAGAGATCACTCGGAGATTGCTTATTGTCTTCGAAGAGAACTTCGACGAGCTTGGCGATTTCGGCCATGACTGTGAAAAGCGATCGTACGAGTGAAATTGAAATAAAGATCAGTGCATTACAGGAGGTTGATCAGAGAGAAAAGAGCTCTCTTTTGGAGAGAGAAAAGCAGAGAAGCTAAGTTTGGGAAGATACCCTGGTTAATTTACAGGATGTGGAAGGAGGATTTTAGTGGGCGGGGTTAGGGGAGATAAGAAGTTTTTATATGCGGTGAATGACAATTTGGTTTGGGCAGAGAGAGAGAGAGAGAGAGAGAGAGAGAGGAATGTGTTTCGAGCGTTTGCTTAATTTCCAAGTCATTCTTTGAAGATTTTGATAACACAGGGGCTGTTATAAACCGACTTTAATTGGAGTTCTTTAATGACGAGAATACCCTTGTACAATGAGATCTACACTTTCCTCAATTTTTTTCAAGAGCAATGTCATTAGAATATAATTTATTGACTTAATATATTGATCTAATTTATTGATATAATTTATTAACCTAATTCATTATAATTTTTGAATTGACTGTAGATTTTATCAAAAATTAAAATTTAGTGTTGATTCAATGATTCTTATGAAGTCACATCATTATGTCAGCAAATTAGATTAAATTTTTAAGTTCAAATAGTATTATTCTTTTTCTTAATAGTAGATTATTTATTTTTATGTTTTTAGTTCAACATGAATATTTAGACTAATTTAAGCACATATTTATTAATTTTCTCTTCAGTTTAGTCAAAAACATATTATCCACACTAAGAATAGGGTATTTACGGGAGATAAATCTCTCATAGTCTGATCCCAAAAGATTGTCAAGATTCATACTCAAAACATTTAAATTTATAATTCGTCTTTATTACCACTTGAACTACCCTTGAAGTTGTAAATCATTTATTGTGTATGGGTAAATGACTTACTAATAAGAGTATTTCCAACAAAGTTTTATATTTTACCTATCTAAAAGTAGAGATATTAGCTCTGACTCATTGATATAAACTCAATACGAATGATTTTAAAATTGACACGATTATTAAATACACATAATAAATAATTTAAACTAATATATAATATTCAAAACACATTAAATAGATTTTTTTTTTTTTCGTGGATCTTGACACGAGCACGACACGAATAACAAATGACACGACAAGAATAACACGATATATGGGTCACAAGAATACAACACAATTGACACCATTATCCAAAAGTATATTATTTTCTATTTTAAATACTCACTTTTTCAATGCACACTCTAAGAGATTTTTTATATTTTAACTATTTTTTTAAATATTATTTTTTATATTTTGTACCTTTATTAAAACTATTGAAGATAGATAAAGAGAAATAATGAAGGGAAAGATAATGAATGGATAAGAGATGTAAGAAAAGAAGAGAGGAGAAATAATATATTGTAAAATATTTATAGATAATGTTACAATGATGCTTTAAATAATGGCTCATATACCAAAGAACCGTCTAATGGTATTCCTCACTTTGTGAATATTTTATCTTCTTGAGGTCAAGAGTTCAAACTCTTTCTCTCTCCCACTTCCAAAATATGATATTTAAAAAAAATAGTGGATCATATGTGTATCAACGACAGAGCATCACTATAGCAAAAATATATTATACCTATTTTGAATATCTTCGGGTGGAGCATGGGTTTAGTCTTTGAATAACTAAATTTTAATTATTTTGAAGTTTTAGTCATTCTCTTAGAGATACTCTAAATATTGGATCATATGTGTATTAAAGATCGATGATCTATTATTAAGTGAAAAGAAAATCTCACTTTGTCCCTTAAAAGATATAAAAAATTTTATTTTACCCCCTAAGTGAATACTTTTTTTATATTATCCGCTGAAAGATATTAAAAGGTTACAATGCTTTTCATTTGCCATCCGTTTGAATTTGTTATCACGTGCAAAGCACGTGAGAAGAAGAGGGGTTGTATTGGAAAATCATTTTCTGTGCAAACCCACCAACTTAGAGGGTTTTGGGTCTTATCACTCACCGGCGGAAATTGACCGGAACAATACCGGCACAGTATTGGGCGATCTTGAGGAACATGGGCATGGCGAGGTCGAAGTGAGTTCGAGGAGGGTTGCACCACCCACCATTGTCATTTGGTAAAGCATTCCTGGGTTGCACCACCGTGGATCTTCGGCGCACTTGATCTCAAAGCAAGCTCTGACCATTGTTGAAAAGGGTTGTGCTCAGTGCCGCCGTGTTTCCTCCGTAGCCTTGGCTGTACAGATTCCCATAACCACATGCTCCACTTGAACAAAACAGCTAGCAATTACACTGCAAAGGGGGGGAATTGAGAGATTTGAAAATGCAAAGGGGGGGGGGATTGCTACACTCAAATGACATTGGTCCTTAGTGGCTAGGCGTTTCGCAAACCATGGACGACAATGGAACTAATCCCACCGGTGGTGCAGCCGGAAACTTGAAGAACGCGATTATAGCGTTTCTGGTTCCTCTTCCCTCCATTCTATTCTACCTCTCCTTCCTCCGCCATTTTCATGATCATCCTATTATAACTGATGATGGAGACTCTCTCGCTTCTCTGTGGACATGGTGCTATAGCCACCCTCTACTGTTAGCCAACCTCCTTTTCTTCCTCAACGTTAATGTCCTCTTCTGGGTCATTGGTCTGATCCAATCTAGCCAATGACTTGGGTTTGGGGTATTAGCCTCAGCTACAACTACTTCGCTAGTGCACAGAGTCTATGTAATGGTTCGATACAGGGGAAGAAACAGAGCACAAAACAGAACAAATTAGCTTCAGTGGGAACTAGAGAGAGAGAGAGATAGACGAAGACAGGGTTTGCACAGAAAATGATTTTACAATACAGCCCCTCTTCTCTTCACGTGCGAAGCACGTGATAACAAAATCAAACGGACGACAAAAAGGAAAAATAACGATGGACTGCATTACAACCTTTTAATATCTTTCAGGGATAACATGAAAAAGCTAATCTTTTAAAAGATAAAGTGAAAAATTTTGTATTTTTCAAGGGATAAAGTAGAATTTTCCTTTAAAGGAAAAATATAATGAAGAGAATTTGGATCCTCGTTTTACATAGCAAGCAAATTTTTTTATGAACAATGTTTACCTAATTGTTTAGCTTGTAATAATCCAAATTTATATTATCTCTAATATATTTTTTCTTCAATTTTTTTTGCGGATCATTTTCCATTAATAAATGAAGAACTCGATTGTATACAATAGGTCCCGCATGAATGCAAGGTATGTGATCCACCAGAAAAATAATTGCAAAAAAATATATTTTGCAGGAGCTCTCACTCTTAATAATCCTCCATGAATGCATGGTATAGATTGACTTTCTAAGGTAACGGGTTACACTTGTTGAGTTCAAATATTAGTTATCATAAATTGATTTGTGTTTGAGTTGAACTTAACTATGGAGTTTAAGTTTGTACTTAAACTTGATTTGTTAAAATCTTGTGAACGTTTGAACTAAGTTGGATTTAATTTCTCACTCAAAAATTAAAAATAGGAAATAAAACTCAATGTTTAATTTCTTAAAAATTCTCAAAAACATAGAATCACCTAGAAAATCAAATTTTAAATTTTGTTTAGAAAAATTATTTGAAACTAGTGGCGATAGAGAAGTGCATATAATGGAAAATTATTTAGGGCTAAACTTGAGATTGTTGATCCCCGGAGGGGTTCGCACAATAATATTAGAATTATTTGAGTTGAGTGACATGTTGTCTAGATTTGACTTTAAATTTAAAATCTAATTAAAATTATTTTATTTAATACTTTTGAAAAAACCTGAATGAAGCAAAATACCAAGTCGAGTGGGCTTGTTCTGATAGTTTAGCTGGTTCTTTGATAGGCTAGTGAACCATATGTGTACATATTGAATAGGTGGCAATCTTAATCCATTAATCCCTTCATAAATAAATGAGTTGGATACCTATATTAATTAATATGAATTTTAAATAGATTGGATAATATGATTCATTTTAATTAAATAGGTTAATATAAATTACAAATAGATACTCATTGGATTAAATATTTATCTTTTTATTAAATAACACAAGTAATAAAATTAAATAAATATACTAATCTATATCTATCTATACTATTATAAATTGTGAACATTCTTGAAAATTTTTTGTTTTCCTTTAATACCCTTCAACAATGATAATAGGACATTTCTATACATGAACCTAAATGAGTTATTATTCAAACAACTACTTCATTATATTGAACGGTTAATTCACCCCTTCGTCTCTCACAATCTCACTCTACTGCTTTTTCACTTTGCCATACACCCATCTCTTCCTCTTCTCTCTGTCCTCAGAATTTTTAGACTCTAAGCATTCTTAGAGTAATCATTGTTAATTTCATTGTTGGACTTTATAACTTCTAAGAATAAATAGGATTCTTTAAATAGGATCTTTCACCCATCCAAGACCCCAGAGGAAACAGAGAGACATCCAAAGCGTTATTTAACTCAAGAAGTTGAATAGCTCATAGATAGGCTTAATAATCTCAGTGATGGTAAACATCTTTTGGGAATTATATAAACTTATGCTTGTAACCCAGGCCACACTCCCCTTGAAAATTTAGATTTTAGATCCCTCGTTGTCCGGCTATATAACAAGAGCTGCAGGCGCATCGAAAGATATGTGTGGTTTGATATTTGAAATACAATTCAATTTTTTTTTGGCTAATGAATGGTGGTCTGGTGAGTAGGACGAATATGCAGCCAACCACGAAGAGTATGAGGAGAAATTGGCTTTTTTTTTTTTTTTTTGGCCATGGGAGCCTTCGTTGTACTACTTGATCTTAAATTGCATGAAAGCATATTTTTTTATTCTTATGTGGTCTAAACTCTATAATGTTTGCATATCTATTTACTGAGTTTGGTTGATGGTTAATGGTAATAGATATAATGATGGTAAACCGACTGACAATGCTCAAGATTTAACAAATGTTTGTTGAGGTAAAATTAATTAATTTTAGTGATTTATCGTGAACAGTTTTTAAATTTTACTAACTTTGATTCTATGTATTGTATAGGGGAAAAAGAGAGGTGATTGACTCAAAAAAACACACGTGAAAATTGATGATCCAATGTATCATATTTTTGAAAATTGATCTTTGGAGCATACTATCAAAAAGAACTTTTGTTTTAAACTTTTTGCCTTCACTTCAAGAACATATTTACTGTTTCGAAGAATTTATTTATCTGTAAAAACTATGACAAGCATACATTTGACTTCAAGGTACATCTGTTACGTGATCACTTGTTTTATAAAAATATAAATTACAAGATACATGATAATATTTACAATAATAATAAAAATAGATTGGTAAGCAAAATGGTACATGCGCAACGCACGTGAACATTAACTAGTATACCAAAAAATACACACACTGTTACATCAAAAAATACACACATATACACTAATACATCAAAACATGTATACATTAGTACATCAAAAAAACACACACACACACGCTAATACATCAAAAATACACACACACACACACACTAATACACCACCCATGACCCACGGGTCAATCTACGTGTTGATCCATAACCCACGGACCAACTCATAGCCCACAATTGACTCTAACCCATTATGTGTGTATTTTTTTTTATTAAATGTGTTTTAGTTTTTGTGTTAGTGTATGTGTATATATTTTTGGTGTATTAGTGTGTATATTTTTAATGTATTAATTTGTGTGTGTTTTTGTGTATTAGAGTGTGTGTGTGTATATGTTTGTATTTTGGTGTACTACTAATATGTGTGTGTGTATTTTGGTGTACTAATATGTCTATTAAAAATTTTAATTATTTTATGGACTAATCAGTTTAACCTAACTCGTGATAAACCCAACTCATTATAACTCATTTATTAGGTGAGTGAAAATTGAATTTGATTTATTTTATTTCAATCCAATTTAACTCAACTCATAACCAACTCAACCCATCCATTTGTCACCCCATATCCATCATTTTTTTCTTGTTGGACCGAAGTGAGGGTTTATTGAGACTTTTAGGGCCTGTGTTGATATCTTTTTTTAGAAGGGTTTGAATTTACTTGTTCAAACACTTTCAAATCCAAATATGGGATTTAACATTTTAATGTTGTTTATACTCATGTTTAGTATGCGCAAAGATATATGACTATTATAATAATATATTTGTATATAAATGACTATTGTGCTCCTTAATCAATTTAATCTAAACATGGGTATGGATATATGAGAGGTATAAAATGTTATTTGAATGTTAAACTCATTAACCTACATATGAAACCCTTCTTCATGGGTTTCATGAAACTCATGAGCTTGAGTTTCATGACCGGACCTAAATCGGACTGGATTTCAAACCCTGGACTATATGTGTATTTGTCAAACATAGATTTGAGGGGGTTTATTTTTCAACCTATGGTCCAAAACCCCCTTAAACCCACATACCAAACAGGCCCTTAGGGGCTATTTGGTAAGAGGTATAGGGGGTTTAGAAAGATGAATTTAAAAAAAATAGTTCAAAAGATCCTCAAATTTTATGTTTGGATTGAAAATTCAATCTCAGGTTGTCAAACCCGACCTATAGCTGGCCTGAAAATTAAACTCATGATCATGAGTTTCGTCAAACCTAAGGAGAGGTGAATTTGGGAAGATGAGTTAAGGGATTAAATATACAAAAGATAATTGTACCCCTTAACATGAGTATGAATTAAATTGATTAAGGGTAAAATAGTCATTTACGAGACAAATAGTTGTTAATAATATATTTGTGAGTCTTACATGTGTATGTGTTGTATACCAAACATGAATATAAATTGGACTGAATGTTGAATCTCATCTTTGTAAAGAGAGGTTTGAGTTTAGATTGGTTTTTTCAAATCTTTTCAAACTCAAACCCCTCTTTATAAAGATGAGATTCAATATTAAATCTGATTCATACACATGTTTGATATTCAACATATACACATATAAGACTTACAAATATATCATAATTATTAACAACTATTTCTCTTATAAATGAATATACTATCACTGATCAATCAAATTTATACACATGTTAAGAGATACAATTGTCTTTTACACCTTTAATCCCTTAACTCATCTTCCCAAACCTACCTCCTTTAAGTTTGACGAAATTCATGATCATAGATTTAACATTCGGGCTAGCTGCGAGCCGAGTTTGGAAACTCATGATTGAATTTTCAATCTAAACATGAAATTTGAAAATCCTTTAAACTATTTTCTCCAAACCCATCTTACCAAATTCTCCGTACCCCCTTATTAAATGTCGCCTCAGGTGCAATGTAATAAATTTTATTTGTGTTGGGTGTCAAGCAAAGTATCATATAATATGGGGTTTTCGAGAGCAAGAGGCTTAGGTAGTTAGGTTTTAAGGATTCGACACTAGGATGTGTTAGAGATAGTTAGTAATGTAAAGAATCTCACATTAAAAAAGTTGAAAGGGAATGTAAGGGTTTAAAAGGAGAAACACACCAAAATTTATAAATTTGGATGGTAGGAAGATTTGGAGGAATGCTCCAAATATTTCAAATTAATGGGTCTTGATTAGACTTTAAATAAAATAATATTTAAAGTCAAAAGATAGGCACTTGGGCATCTTGGGGCATCTTGGGCTTGAAACTTTTAAATAATTAATTATTTTTGTATTAATTAATTACTAAATATCTTTTGGCCCAAGAGTTGTGTCTCCTCACTAAGGTATTATAAATATCTGTACAGATCTTTCAATTGAGATATATACAAAAAACGTTTCTCTATTTTGTTCTTGGGAGAATTTGTTATCTGAAATTTTGTTTAGCTTTGTTAATTCTAGAGGAATTTGCCATAAACCCATCAGCAACATAGTGAGGGCATAATTTCCTTAAGGACAATAAATATACGATCAAAACCTTCTAATTTGGTGAAATCCTAATTTGCTAACAGGATGTCCACTACATGAGGCCAGCTAAAGTCATTGTTCTGCAATATTATTTTTTTTCGGTAGGTAAAAAAATTATATTTTGAAAAAATAAAGATATTACATAAAAGTTATAGACAAGTCCTGAAATGTACACGACCAACCTTATAAAGAGAAGCTCTTCACACCTAGCCGTCATAAAATTTAACATTACATCCACAAACTAAGATTCACACAAGTCATAATAACACTTACTTAGTAGTAAGGGAGGGAGCCTTTAACTTCTCCTCAAGTCTGTTAGTACTTAAAGTATTGATATTAAATTTTCTAACTTTCAAACTTTGAATCCGTCCATTGTTTTGCAATATTTACAGGTCTATACGATGCTAATTCCAATTGATTTTGATTGCATGTCCACTCTTATCTTAAGTTGAAATCCATTTCGTTCTTATTGTACTAAGCTTATTAAACTGTGTAATCTAGAATATAATCTGCTCTATTGGCAAACCTTGATATTGGTAATTAAGATTATTTTTTCTCACATGGATGGGTAAGAGAGGGAAAGGAAAGACCACTAAAGCTAGTTTGTTTCCTTCTAGTGGGAAAAGAGGGGGAGGAAAAAGCAACAAGATGGAGAAAAGAAGAAAAAAAAGCAAAGGTCCTGAGTAGGATCATTACACTAAAGACATTTTATGGGTACAAATAACATTCATTATCATCACTTCTTTTACTTGATGATATTACAAATCACATCCTCTGTTCTTCAATTTGAACATATGATCATGCATTCCCTTTAATTCCCCTAAACTTTCTTGAAATATTTGTACTTTTTCTCTAGTCAAACAGTCCCTCGCTAGTATTACTACTACTTTCTTCACTCAGCTGGTCATTACCTTTATTGCTTTTTCTATCAACTTTTATTTGGCCTTTATCTTTCTCACTTTTTTATGTTTTTTGGGGTAGCCGACTAGCCATCTTAGTGCATTGGCGTGTAGGGAATGTCATAACTTGTCCAGTTGGTCTTTTTTCTTCAGTCTCGAGATTACTCCGATCAAAGAAATCAAGTTCCAAGTCTAGTTATTAAAACCTGTGTACAAGTCTTGTACCCAAATAAATCTATTCTTTTATCAAACAAAGCTAATACTAAAATCAAACAACGCTCATGTCTTATAATTTTATCTTATTCTTATCGCACAGATTAATTATTTCATACATACACATTTGTACATCTACACACAAAAACACGTTCATCTAATTTGTAAGTCAGAGAAAATTTTATTCCTCACAACCACGTACGACAACGCAAATTTCAAATTAACAAAGTTAAAATTTTAATATGTATTAAATTGATAAAACTAATGTTAATATCATGAAATCACCAGGAAATTGAATGTTAATTTGATAAAATTCAATGTTAATATGTATTAAATTGAGAAAATAGTTGTTAATTCGATGAAAGTGAATTTAATTTCATGAAATTGAAGTTCAATTCGATATTAATTTGATGAATCTAAATTATAAATTAAATGTTAATTTGACAGTAGTTCGACTAAATTAAAATTTTAAATATTAATTTTGTGTTAAATTGATAAAATGACGTTAGTTTGATGAAATTAATATTTGAATTACTGAAATTAAATGTTAATTTGATAAAATTAAAGGTCAATCATTGTTAATTTGATTAAATTATTTTAACATTGGTCAAATTAGAATTTAATATAAGGTCAAATTAAGTCTCTGTTCCATTATAGTGGTTAAAAGCAAAATCTAAAAGGGGGTAATAGTGATATTTTAAAAATTATAGAGGGTACCTTTATAATTAGGCCATTTTTAGGAGATATTAATGAAATTTACCCAATTTTTAACCAGTCTCATCTTTATTCCTCATCCCTCTTCTTGTAATAGTGTTTGACTGAAGAAAAAAAAAATTTACAAAAAGCACAAACAAGTGATGCTGCCCAGGATCGAACTGGGGACCTTTAGTGTGTAAGACTAACGTGATAACCACTACACCACAGCACCTTGTTTGCCAATCCTTTGGGCATAACTTTTTTTATTTACTAATCACAACAGAGAAGGCAATAACTCTGTTTTTTACACTCATATATGGACCCTATTGTAACATTCTAGCTAAAAATTCCCCTTAAAAGAAGGGTACGAAAAGAGATGAACCGAATACAAACATAACATTTATTTTCAATCGTACAAAATGATTACATATTCGAATATAATATGTACCATCTCTTAATTACATTAAGTGATTGCAATAGTTAGGATGAAAGACTTGCAAATTTATTTTATTTTTTTTTCAAATATTGAGACTGGAAAAAAGAAATACATGGAGAATTGCCTTGTTTTTCTGACTAAGGTTTCGAATTTCCTGCAATTTCAGCTTTATTCAACAAACAAGAAAATTCTGTCCTGCCATTCTCATCGAAAACAGACACATTACATGTTCCACTAACATCAAATTCCATTATTCTTTCAAACAATCGTGCCCCATGTGATCAGTACAAGAATTAAAAAGACAAACATGGTTTATTTAAGGAGAGGTTTTCTTAGGAGAAAAAGTTGCTGGTGGACTTCCAGGGAAGCCAGGTGATGGTTGAAATGGGAATGGAGGGAGAGGAAATTGGAAGGCTGGTGAAGGTGGTGGAGGTGGTGATGGAGTTATATCTGATATAGGTGGGAAATTAATTGGAGTAAATGTTGATGGTGGAGGAGAGAGAAAAATTGGAGGAAATGTTGAAGGTGGAGGAGAGAGAGAAACTGGAGGAAATGTTGAAGGTGGAGGAGAGAGAGAAACTGGAGGAAATGTTGAAGTTGGAGGAGAGAGAGAGATTGGAGGAAGTACAGAAGGTGGCGTCTTCAACGGGTTTGGTGGGAAGAATGGTAGTCCAGGAAGTGGTGGCAGAGGAGGGAGTGGTGGCAATGGTGGAAGCCTTGGTAGTTCTGGAAGATATTGAGGATGCTCCTGAATTGGTGGATCATCAGGAGTTGGAATTGAAGACTTCAAGGAATTGATTTTCTGGGAATTTTGGAGATTTTTTGGTTTTTGGTTGCAGTGGTCTGGCTGTTTCAAAGGCTTAAATGTGAGAGACCCTGCTGAGAAAATGTGAGTTTCAGGCCTTTTAGACTTGAGATAAAGTAAAGAAGAGGTTGATAATGAGGCCACAGCGCAATGCGGCTCGCTGCTGCTGATTAACTTCACAGAACAACCCTTAATTTTCTTGGCATGTTTGCTTACTGAGAAAGGCAGGGGAACACTGAATTCTCCATGCTCGTCTGTTTTCGCTTCCCTGCGAAAACTTTGCCTTGAATTTGTGTCTCCACATTCTACTGCAACCGATGCACCTAAGCACAAGATTGAGGATCACATTTCAGCGGTGTAATATGTTAAAAAATGTAAATCACAGAGGGCAACAATGGGATGAATCGTAAACTCAAACGCCTTGAGTTTGATAGTTCAACATGTGGCAGTGGGCGGGTGGTTCTAGGCATCTGGATTTACTCTACAGAGGTGGGTCCAATATGGCTTTGTTGGTCCTCTTAAGGAAAAAAAAAAAAAAGCAGAAACATAAAGAAGAAAAAGGGGGAAGTTTTTGAAATGTACCTGAAATGAATTGGCTAGCCTTGGAGAAATCCTTTTTGAAGCATGTGTCACAGTAGACAGTGCCAACAAGAACTGCTGATTGAAGCTTCTTCCCATGCCTAGCCTCTGAAAGATTAATGAAAGTGAAAGTGAGAATGATTATAGTCAAAAACCAAGACATTCTGAAACCTGCCAGCTGCTCTCATAAAAAAGAGATCTACTCCCTTGAGTTTTGAGTAAAGATTGCTAGATGGAATGGCCTTTTTATAAGGTGACCCTGACCCATCAAGCCTCTTTATGAAATTCATGCAAAAACCAGTCAACTGCAAACTAGAAGCAGTGAATGTAGATTGATATCCTTAGTAACTAACCGAAAGCGAAAAAAGAAAAATGGGAAATTCTGGGGTAAAAAAAGAGGATAAAGAGAGTTATTTAACTTGCTTTGCTGTTTTTTCTTCTTTTTTTCTAGTGAAATTCATCCATTTTGTTTCTTTGGTGGTGTAGAGTTGCCTTTAATTCTCGAGGGCAGTTAGATCACATAATTCATGAGTATTTGACAAAAAATAACAGAATAGATGTGCTGCATGCATGGTTATTCTGTCCACAAGAAGATTGTTGGCAGCTACATGTACAACTTGAAGGGTTGTGTGTGTGTGTGTGAGAGAGAGAGAGTGAGAGAGTTATTTACAACAATGCTGCAAATTTCAAACTTTATTATCGATCTATGACACTTATAAATTTATTTACCAAACTATGATACTTTTTAAAAACTGATTTAATAACTCTATTTTTGTTAGAAAGCGGATTCTATAATCCTATTTGTTAGAAATAAAAAATGTAATCAAAATACAAAAAATTTTGTAGGTAACAGGTAAAAAGGCTGCAAAACAAAACAAAAAACATGTTTTTTCATTTATTATGATTGCAACTAAATATCATGGGCAACAAACGAAAAACGTGTTTACTAAATATGCTTTTTTCGAAAGGTATGTTTAGTAAATACACTTTTTACATTTTTCATTTGTCACCGTAACTTCTCATCAAGTTTTTTATTTAAAAGCAGGGTTTTTATCTTTACTTTTAAAAAATATCGTAATTTGGTAATTAAGTTCAAAAGTATCATAGATCTGTAATAAAGTTAAAAAATTGTTGCGTTGTGGTAAATAGGGGGGGGGGTTCTGGGGAGTTGGTGGCCGAGAGTTTTTTATTATTTTAATGAATACACATATAGAATACATACATATTTTGAACACACAATCCTTGTTTTTAGTCGATCTAGCATTACTGTAGTTATTGTTGTTATGCAAAAATTCATAATCAATCAATTTTTGTTGAGTTCTTTTATTAGTTGGAGGTAATAACTAATCAGTTATTGTTGGACCCCTTTAATGTTATTTGTCGATTTGGTTAAATATGCAACTTCCCCTAATTCTATAAATTTTATAATGGAAAAAAGGACTGTTCCTATCCTTTTCGACTGCTAGGCATAAAAATCACAACTTCTTTTAAAACCCAAATTCAAACACAGCTCCATACACTTGAAATCCAGATTTTAATGCGACTAGAACAAATTTTCTTGTGCATATACCAATGAATATTTCTATGATACAGAAAAATAATTTTTTCGGTATCTTCTAAACAAAATAGGACCTAATTACATCATGTTGCAATTAAGTGAGGTTGAAATTATTAATTAACGGTGATGACCTAATAGCCTTTTATGTTAATTTTTTTATTTTTGGCCTTACATATTCTTGCTTTATTTCAGGGAAATTTTTTCATTTTCTCAAAAATATATATATGTAAATATCTCACTTGTGTTTGTTTGCTCGACATGTCAATTAACCAATGTTGATCAATAGAATCCAAAGGAAAGGGTATCTTCGCTATAAAAAATGGGAGACACAAATCCTATAATAAATTTTTAATTGTAATTTTTTATTTTATCCAAATCCAAAAAACTCCTTGGACGGAATAAGTTTTTGTCTCTCCTGCCTTTATCTTTGAAGCCGCTGCCATGACCGTCGATTACGCGGCCTCTGTTTGCCTCTATTCTTCAAAGATAACTTTTACTCTATATATCTCTCTCTCTTTACCCTTTTCCCGTCTCATAACCTTTAATTCTCAAAAAATCTCTCTCTCTCTCTCTCTCTCATACGAAATTGCTTTAAACAAAAGTTACTTTAGACAGAATTAAAGACAAGAAATATTATTAGTTGATATTGAGTTGATATTTTAAAAAATTCTCTTACTTTAGGCAGTGAGAAACTCACGAATCTATTACCCAAAGAGGTTGCTATTCCTAATTTTTCTTTGGTTAATATTGGTGAACTGTGTAAAAATAGATTTTAATATTGAGAGGCCTTTTCTTTTTTGTTTATATATTCAGGAGGTAATGAAGACAAGAAAATAAGAAAAGATAAAATATTTTTGTGAGAAAAATTTTAAAAATAAACTTTGGGACAATAAGAATTTTTTTTTAAAGATTTGAATAAGTATTTAAGTTTGTCCATTGAAGTGTTCTACACTAATGCTTCGTTTTGTACGATGTAAAAGTGGAATGATGAAAAATTGGAAGGAACAAAAGTTGGAGGGATAAATAAAATATCATATTTGGTAAGAAAGGAAAGTAGGAATGATGGAAAAATGGATAAATTAACTTTCCTTTTAACTCACCAAAATCAATCTCTCAAAAATTGGAATGAAAATGGATGAAAAGTTAATTATTTGTGTTGAGATGTATTTTATTTGTTTATATATCTTTTTATATCATATAAAAATATAATAGTAAATTTTAAATTTTAAATTTTAAATTAAAAAATATATTTTTTCCATCTTAACTAAGGGTGAAAATTTTCGACTAAATACGATAAGACGACTCGAACTCGATACGAAAATAAACAGATCAACTCGCAACTGTACACGACACAATTAGTTAAATTAGGTTTGACTAATATTTAACACAAATTCGTAATGACTCCACGAATCTAATACTACACGACTCAATTGTCACCCCTAATTTTAGCCATCACCAAAAAAAAAATAGTCATTTTTATTTTCCATCCATCCAACCAAACACAAATGAAGGAAATTGTATTATTTTTACTTTCCATCCTTGAAGGATAGAAAATGTATCCCTCTAACTTTTCATCATTCCTACTTTCTATCCTCTTTACCAAACGAAGCATAAATCAAGTTTTTTACTCAAATTTGAATCTCAATTTAAGTCATGATTAGAGATGTTCTATTAAATAGATTGAATTCGGAACCAATTTTTCTAATTGAATTCGAATGGGGGTTGACCATAATCAATTCCTCTATTGACGAGCCTAAAGAGATTCAAATTCTCTTCATTACTCTTTCCCTTCAATTCTCATCAATAGTGTATTGGATGAGTGACAAGTAGATTTTTTTTAGTTCAATGGATGAATTCATTCAACAAATTAATTAATTTGATCACTTGTATGTTTGAATGTTTTGAATCATGGCAAAGGTGGGGACAAAAATTAAAATTTACCAGCAAGGCACGGATGAGAATTAAAACTTTTTCCGCTAATGAGTGTAAACAAATATTTTTTATGCGGGTACGAAGATAGAGGCTACTCCCCCGCCCCAAACCTAGACCCGAATGGGATTTTCAGTCGATTTTTTACTTCTCAAACGTGTTTTAAATGGAGTTCACCTTATTTTTATTCCATCTTGTTTAACTCGGCATCCAAACACACCTTGAGTTCGAAGGAGAACAGATTGCAGTAGACAATAATAATTTCAAAGAAAATACAAGTCTGAGAGGAAGAAAGCTGCGTGACCAAATAAATTGTCTAACCATTAAAAAGGCTGTTGTGATCGTGCAACAATTATGGTGAATAATAAGGAATCAAACAATTAAGAAAGCAGGAGAAAATAACACACAGAGATTTACGTGGTTCGACAATGTGCCTACATCCACGAGAGCGAGCGGCCGTTCTTTTCCATTATTAAAGTAGGGTTACATCTTAAGTATTTATATAACCCTAATATGGACGTATTTATAAAAATACCCCTGTACCGTACCGCGGGGGGCGTTACCCCCGCACCCCCAACTAATCAGCATCCTCTATATATAAAATTCCGCAAGGCAAATGCCGTCGCGAGCTCCGCTTCGCTCCACTCCGCTACGCTCCGCCCGTTTCGGCATCTGCCTCCTTGCCATTATGCACACAGCAAATATGAGTCACACATACTCTAACAAAGACAAAACTGAAAACCAGTCCGTACATCATGGGGCCACAATTCCCCTCCATCTTACATACAAAAATTTCGGGATTGACCCGGATAAGAGTTTCAGTCAATTTTTTTAATTCCCAAACATGGGTTATTGAACTTTACCTTATTTTTATTCCATCTTCCCTGTGTCATCTCCTTTTAACTCGACATCCAAACACACCTTAAGATTTAGATGGAGAAAAAACTTGCAACAAACAATAATAATTTCAAAAATAAAAAGACAAGTCCTAAAATGATAACAAATGCTCGAGTTTAAATTTATAAATCAGTCTTTACAAAGTAAGGGTAGTGTGTTTAAATCTATAAATCAGTCTCGACAAAGAAATGGGTAAAATTATTAACTACCGTCTTTTTTCTAGTTTTTTGGTTTTTTAAATTTGTTACCTTTCATTTATTTGACAACCCTCGGCACTATATATAAGTAGCTCATTCATCATCTATGGCCATTATCTATCTTCCTTCTCAAGTGATGGGGAGTTCTCATAAGAAGCAAGAGTATGATTATTCATCCTTGCCAACAGAAAAATGGTGGAAAAATCTTGCACTCTACCAATTCAAGGGCTACTGGTTCAGGCTTACTCACCTTCAAGGAACCCAACAAGTCTTGAACGAGTTCAAACCCCTTCCCACTGATATAATTTTAGCTTCTTTCCCCAAAACCGGCACCACATGGCTCAAGTCCCTCCTTTTTTCCATCATTCATCGCTCTTCCAAAGAGTCCTTGATCTTGAACCATCCCCATGAACTTGTTCCATCACTAGAAATCCAAGTCTATGCACCACAACCACCACCACCACTACTGCCTTCCCATATTCCGATAGCCAATGCTCCACCAGCTGGGCCTAGAATCTTCAATACCCACATACCTTATAAGATTCTGGCTGATAATCTGAATTCATCAGAGTGTGGGGTTGT